ATCTAGGACACAGGATGATAGTCATAACATACGGCTCTGGAGTAGAAACATGAGTTCTGTAATGGTTTAATCAAGTAGGTTTTAGTTGGTTTTCTAGAGTAGCATGGTGTCTGTTCCCTGCCATAAATGACACAATCAACACGTAGATAAGGATACTTTGTCGAGTACTTCATGACATCACATTGCAGATTAGTACCATGTTTTAGGAAAGCAACACGTAGATAAGGATACTTTGTCGAGTACTTCATGACATCATATTGCAGATTAGTACCATGTTTTAGGAGATCGTTCCAAAAACATTTAAAATTGCCAGGCATTTCACATGTGCAGCATTCGTAATATCTATCAAATTTCAGATAAAGTTTTTCTCTGGCGGCGGCGTTTAAAATCAACTCGATATGTAGTGACATCCATTTAAATATAATACTTTTCAAATTCGGTTGCAAATTAAAAAGGACATCTTTCATTGAGAAAACCTGTAAAAACGTCACACATTTGTCTTGACATATATTCAAATACAGAGCGTACACAAATGCATCAAGAACCCATGTTCTTAACCACAGAAACTCTGCGCCGTGCAATTGTCTCTATGATATTACCCGGGGTGACGTGCAATATTCCACTGTGTACAAATTTCTTTAGTGTCCGCAAGGCGATGACGGTAGGGAAACCTTTCATCACAATTTCGTTATTCGTTGTTTCCAGGTAATTCCCGGAAAACATAACTTCGAAATATTCAAAGTGTTTTGTTAGGATATCAAATGATCCGCCATAACGGCATACTATCAGGAATATTTTGTGAACAAAAATTGATGGCAATGCTTGAAAAAGAATCCTACACTATACGCATGTAAAAAACAATCTGAAACTTTCTGACCTCCTGAAAAAAAATCAAGACACAACAGGACAAAAAATAACGTTTTTAAAGAATGATTTTTATTGATCCTTTCCCTCAACAATTTTATCAACTATGTTGTTTAACATTTCTTTCACAATGACTTTCTGTTGTATTTCTGTATAAACTGTCTCTAACAATGCATTTATTATCGATGGGGGTGGTGGATTGACGAACATCTCACCGACTGAGGGCAGTATTGCATTAGCTAGCTCACAAAATACATAACAGATGTATTATTCTGTGTTAAAATATTTCAGGTGTGATCCCGATAGGAGTAAACATGAAAACAATATTGGAATACGAAACTGCATACGAAGAAAGCCTATGTCGATACAGCACTAAAATTTATCCGTAATTAGATTATTCACTAGTCACGGTGTGATGGTGCTGTTTCGGGTTCTTTGTTGAACCCTTCATCGGTAGAAACAGTACTTGACCGAATCGCTCGATTTATTTAGCTTCCAGAATGTTCGATGTTATTACTTTCATTATACAATTCAGTTA